TCCGTCTCTATCACTGCAATTCCGATTGTTGCCGTCACTTCTTGGCGGTCTTATATACAAGAATATCGCACACCTAGTAAACACTTGAGGCTTCACGAATGGACATGAATGTTCTAGAAGCTCATGACGTGTTACTAGCGTCACGTGACTACCGTTGTCGTAACAATATAGATTTGATAGTATGTCTATGAACTTATAAATTTATTGCATGGATAGTAAAATGAATAACTCCCATGGAAAAACCTTTACTGTGTTTAATATTATTAAAGTGCTACCATACCTATTTTCAAACTGTGATATGGATAGCAAAGAAATTACTGGAATTGCAATTGAATTGTTTATTCAGCCTTCAGAACTGCGATTCTAGCTGAATGCAATGATTAAATTTTACAAATAAACAAACTAGTTCTGCTTCATTCCACTTGGTTCATTCTGTATGGATTGTAACACTTATGAATATAATGCTTGCACTCTACACATCTTGGGTTATATATTTAAAGTACTAGGTATTAATGTATGTCATATGTCATACAGAATATTCCAATAACTATTTAGCCACTTATGTTTCTTAGGGTGAAAACAGAATAAATTTAAACTTTGATACATGATCTAATATAACTTTAAAAAATGCTTGTAGCTACTAAAAGCAGTATTTTGATTCAACAAACAACATTAGAAAAATATTTATTTCTTAATCACTTGTAATTTCTTAATAGTTTGGTTTGTTTAAAAACTGTTCTTGATAGTAATTTTTACTGTAACCCATTTGTTTTTAGTGTTATTAGATGTTTAGATTTGCAAAATATATTTTGAAATGCATTATATTATCCATAACACCTTTATATAAATATGTAATACTAGTTTTTTTCAGTCATATGCATGTAGATTTTTGGGTTTCTGGTATCATTATTCACAATTTGATCATGAGTAATTTTGGATTGAAATCTTAGAATAACTTTTATTTCTGTATTTAATTTTCATTTCATCCTTTGAAAATGATTTTGATGAAGCTGTTTCACCATTAAATGTTTTATGCTCTCTACATGTGAAATTGGATGAAACTACACTGCTTAAAATATTTAAGGGATATTCACAGTTCTCTATATTCTAGCTATGCCAAAGCATGTCTGTTGTTATTAAATAATGTAAATGGCACTCCTGATTAGTGTTTATGCAAATAAAGTGTCAGGTGACTGGTCATATGATATAAAAGTGAAGGTAATACAGTGTGCTCCTCAATTGGCAATTTGAATAAGATCAGAGTGTGTAGAGATATTCAGATTGATAGTGAAACATGCCAGGACTCCAGTGAAGTCATTTGAACATTTCCAAACTCTGGAGGGCAATAGGTTGACTAGGAGCAGGTCAAACACAGGTCCTAGTAGATAGGAAGCAGGATGTGAACTCACTATTGGACCAGAACAGGGAAGACTGTTGTTGAGAGGCTGCTATATGGTATTATGTGATCAATGCAACCAGTGATTCTCAGCTTCCCATCTGAATCAATGGTTCCAAGCAGTAATTGGACAGCAAGTTAACAGACATGTGTTCCAAAAACAGTACATCTTCAATAATGTCACGTATATATGAATTAGTCAAATGGCAGATGGGCGAATGTCTTGTTAACCGATAAATCGTGATTTAAACTGCAGCCTGACATGTATACATTTGGAAAGTGACTGAAATTAGCTCCAATCCTAGTTTCACGGAGAAGACATGCATATGGCAGTGATAGCATACTGGTTTGGCAGAGATCAGTATTGGTGATCACACTGAGCTTTATGTTTATCATGGCATATTTCCAATTATTTCATTGATTTGCTCATTCTAAGAATGCCACCTGAAATTACTTCTTGCATTAGGATCCAAGGTGATCATATGCTTTTATAAACATGTTTTCTGATAATTTAAAGGACTGTAGAGGCTGTAGTACCTAAAGAGCATTTATGGACATGAGTTCAATAGCACACATTTGCATATTGTACTTGTTTTGCATAAAAATGAACTGTGGGGTTACAGAGATATAAAAAAACTATTGTTATTCTTTAATTGAACAGTGTATTTGTTAACCAGTTTGTATGAGCTTGGGGAATGTATATTAAGTATATGATTGCAGTATTTTCTGAAATTTTGTTCAAGATGTTTTTATCACTGATGTTTCCATATTTTAATTTAAAAGAAAATAATTGCAAAGTTCATATTTATCCATTTTTTTTGCAAAATGAATATGCAGGCATTTTTTTAGGAGATATAATTGTGAAGGCACTTTATAAACAACACATTTGTTTGTAAATTTGTATAGAATGTATTTTTGTTTATTTTTTGGGTAGAAAAAGAAGGGTTATGGAAGGGCCCATTCAGTTTTATTCAAGCAGCTGACACTCAATTTGGAATGATTGAAGATTTTCTTGAAAAAAGAGAAAACCCTGGCTGGCAAGAAGAAATTGTTTTAACAGAGAAAGCTATAAAGGCTGTGAATCAAATGGTGCCTAAACCAAGATTCTTTATTGTATGTGGTGACCTGATTAATGCTTTTCCAGGTGAGTGATCTGTTGTATTGTTTTTTTATGCATCTAGCTTCTTTTGAGTTAATGTTTTATGCCAGAAATGCTTTAATTGGATATTCTGGCCTGCAGTCTAGTAGATTCTTTAGTTGATTTATTTATGTATTTGAACTAAGCAAATTCAGGGGACAAAATATCTATATTCGTATCACAATTTTCGAATGAAAACAACCCCAGTTGCAAATCACTTTCCTCTTTGCTTAGCATAATGTGCAAATTATTCCTTTCTCTTGTATGTTGTCTTTGAGACATCCAACAACACAGTGAAAGTGCCATATCGTTTCAGTTTGATATGCCAAAGTTGACGTTCATTTCTCAGAAATTCGTGCTAAACGACACATACAGTATTTCCACAGTTTGTCATGTGTATGTCACATACACTTTGTAGTAGTCTGTTTATGATGTTTGGAATGCGCCAGCTAGCATAGCCAACTAGACTACGTAGGTCCAGTACGTGCACTGTACATTTAGCATTGAGCCATTTATGTATTCTCTCAATACAGGCTTGGTCTAGTGGATGACCACCTGACCATATTTACTTGTGTATAGTTTTAATACTATAGCTTTTAATACAGTATATGTATCCTCACAAAATTGGGCAGACTTTTAGTAAACATTACACGTCATTTGAAGACAAAAAATCAGTTTTTTTAACTAAGTAATTTTACGAAAGATTTGTCCATGAATATATTGAATTTTTTTTTTTGACCAGTCAAAGTGCAAAGTGATTTTCATGTTAAGATTAAAATACTTTTCTTCATCTTAAAAATCTCAAATGTTATTTTCGTAATCTGTAAAAACCTCTTAGATACATTTCAAATGTTGTTTTTTCAGTAAAACTTTCTATTTTATCAGTTATTTTCTCTACCTTAACTATATACAAGGTTGGTCAATTTGATGGACCTCATAACCACCAAAAAAAACTTGAAATAAATCTGAATTACCCTTTTTTTTCTAGAATTGTAATATGAAACTAATTTTTTTTATCCTAAGTAACTTTAAACTTGTGACTGTATACTTACATTTTATTGTTTTATTGCCATTTGAACCATGGCTAACTACAATTCACACCATTATAAGTTGTAAATCACATGGGGAACGTGCGGCTCACATTATGCTATTGAATTACATATTACATTACCCATTAGTTATTCTGAGGTGCTTGCATGTGTGCCTTATGAAAAATTTTTATTATATTATTATATATTTTACATAATCTAACCTTAACTAACCTAGAGAATTTTCTGTTTTTACATTATTGTTATTTTAATATAATAAATAAAGAATACACAGACAAAACAAGAAATAAAGTAGTTACCTGGGCCTTTTTTTCTACTATTGGAAGTAATGTACTAAATAATTTTTATTTAATTAAATAATGCACCAAAGAACATAGAACAATAACATGTAAAATAGCCAACACAACTTTTCTGGCTCTCTAACTATGTGACAAAAGCTGTTACAAATGCATTCAAGCTAGTCAGTGTGTTTCCTGTGAGAATAAAGCTTATATTGAAAGAGAAATTAACATTTTTATGTACAGAAAACAACAAAATACAATACATAATTTGATAGATGAAAACCTTGGCTTTCTGTTGCTTATAAATAATATAGTATCAAATGTAAGAGAGAACTATTAACAAATTCTGAAAGAGAGAGGATGTGATGGATGGGTGTGGCAAGAGGGGTCTGATTTTCTATTTGAGGCTTATTGGAGGCTATGAAAATTATGTTTTGTCTGAGCAAAGACACACTGTAATAAGTAATTTACATTAAATTTTGTACTTTTTGGAGGAATGGTAAATAAATTAGAGAAAAGGGTATGCATTGAGAAAAAATATCACATTTCTCACACTAGGGGAAATTCAGGATCTTTGTTTAATATTGCCTAATAAAATTAAGAACTTAAAACTTGTATATTATTAAATATAGATTATTAGCTACGATTTTATGTTATATAAATTGGGAGAACATGAACAAAAATTGTTTAATTAAATTTAATTTAATTAAACATCTTGTGACATGCACAGTTAAGGATGACCATGGCAAGAGGGGTAATTACTACTGAAAAGTCACAAGACATTTTCTTCTTCAAAAAACCAAGGATACCATGTTGTGAAGAAAGTGATGAGGTTTCATAAAAAAAAAACTATGTTACATCTCCGCTGGTTAATTGATTTTTCGTAACTTCGTTCCGGTTCCGACGAAACTTAAGCGACACAAGTCCTTTCTTAATAAAACTGGTTTATTCTTTCCGAATATAACTTTA